TAATGTTTTATGACTTACAATAAAATAACTAAAATCGTTACTGTTTGGCTCAGGTGGTCTGTATTATTACTAATGATAATATTATACCTAACATAATTACTTGATTCTTTCGATAGTATATAATATATTAATATTATAAAAAATGTACAGTAGGTATTTTTTTTCCTATAAGATAAAAACATTAAACGCTTATAAAGAAATCGTTGTGTTCATTTTTGTTTTACTTAGATATAATTTTTTTATGAAAATTATAATTTGTTTATTATTTAACATTGTTTTTTCCAGATATTTCAGAAATTGTATTTAAGAAATAACTATTAGATGAAAATATTGAAACAAATGTAGTTTAATTTCTAGGCAGTTTTTGTTAATTTTTTTTTAAAAAATTGTGAATTTTCACATGACTAATTTGGAAATTATGGTCATAAAACTTCAAAACTTCAAGATCTTGTTTGTAAGTTTATAGTACCTAAGGATAAATATATCATTTTTCGCATGATATCGTAGTGTTTTTAGTATTTTCGATGTACCTTAATATGTTAATAACATTTTTGTTCTTTGGTAAAAAAGTTTGAGAATTCAATACCAGCTTGAAACTGATACAACAGTCATAAAAATCCCGAAAGTATAATGTAGACACGATTTTCACAAGCCACATAAAGTAATTTTACTTCAGCACGTTGATTTGTTTGTTAATAATACTATAATACCTATAGCAATCTTGTTGTTTACAATAGTATAATTGTTGTACTTGAACTCGTCCTCGAGAACATTCCCTTTGGTTCAAGGTTAGAACAGCTCAACATTAATGTCCAACTAACGCTTTGATTCTGGCAACAGAAGGCAGGTGTGCTCGGCCAAGTGCGGACATCCGACGTCGACACGGTACACGAAGTACGAGTGGAAAAACTGCCCTAACAGGTATAGAACACAATAGGCGTTCGTCCGGTCACTCGAGTGCGGAGAGATTTCGGTACGAAAGCGCACAATATGGCGAACCGCGAACGTAAATATTACATCGAACGGATCGTTCGGCAAACACAGCGGGCGCGTGGTGAACAAAAAAAGTGCAGAGCGAACGGGGTACAGCCGGAGGAGAGTGGAACAAACTCGGCGAACTCGAAAACATTCACCGGGTGAATCTCTTCGTCCTGCTCCACCGTGAGCGGCGTCTAGGACGCTGACCGCGGTTACCGTAGAGTCTGTTTCCACATCTCCGCGTCCGCCCCGGGCTACCGTGTTACCGTGAATCTAGCAGTTGTGTCGAGTGTCTCTAGACTCTGCGTCACCAATTTGTGATGATGACGATTTGCGTATCATACTTAACTGCGGCGCGTCGGCTACGACCGGCAGAACCACCGGTACCAAAGACGAAAAAACCGGGTGACAGCATCTCGATTTTGCTACAACTCTTCTACGGTGACCGGTATCGTTTCTGGCACGTTGAACGATTCGGCGAACGTCAAAAAAACTTCAGCTCCGCGGATCCGATGAACGGCAGCTCTGTCTCAAGTTCCCCTCCTGCAGAATTCGTCTGGACTGCCATTTATTAAGGCATCGATTTACATCGTCTGTGCAGTGGAAAACACCCCGAGATCACCATCGTCCAACCCTTTCAGGCGATTTGTCCGGCGATCGTCAAAAACCTGGAGCACGCGCGTTCTGACAAGGACTGGATCTTGACATCGGACGAGTCCTTCAGTGCTGCGGTATTCGATATATTGATGTGATGATGTAGGTACGGTAAATCTATCATACGAAAAGTAGGTACGTTATAAGTCTTAGACTGCAGTATTATAAATTATTATCGTATTGTTCGTCGTAACAAATATGGAAATAGGTACTGAGAACTGATTACTACAGCAGATTACTGTAACACAGTTACAAATTATTATACGTATACCATGCAGTTGAATAAAAGCCGTAAAAAATAATTTAATTAACTATTAAGTGTTGGGGTAATTTAAAATGCTCGATATGATATTAATATCCATTAAACGTAACTTTTTTTGTTCAAATGTATTAACTCAATTTATATTGTATATTTGTATAAAATAATAAAAAATATTAACTAGGTATATAGTGAATATGTGTATACATACATTATAGTTTATTAGTTTAATTTATAAAGTCTTTAAAACCCTAAAAACTGTATAATTATCTATTTTGTATTTGAGAAACAGTATAAAGTGAATAATTCGTCAACATTATTTCACCGTCTGTGTTTTTAGTATTCAACTTTTTTGTACATAAGCGTTTGTTATAGTTGTACAAGTGTATGCTCACACCCATATTTTTCTTTTAATAATGAAATTATTAAAATCCTGATTTTTGGAATTTATAATCACCAACTGCAAAAAATAATTTTTTTATTAGTACTTTGACTTAAAAACATTATATATTACACATTCATTACACCATACATTTATTTAATGTACTTTATGTACCTATATTGATTTAGATTCAGAAAAAAAGAAGGTGTCCCCACATGCGTTCCGCAAAAAGGTATAATAAAGTTCTAGACTCCTATATAGCACTCCCGTACATACTACCCTAGCTGCGCCCCATGAATAATAATATGGAAGTCAAATTTATTTTCTATAATGTGTGTGTACACTGTACGACAGCGTAGTTATTATAATGCAGTTTATAGTACCTACATACCTGTTCGTACCCATCATAATATAAAGTAAAGCCACGCCGTGGCTAAATACTTTTTAAAAAAAAAATGTAAAATTTCTATCGATTCGTTATGGAAAACCCACCACTTCCACTATGTATTTACAATATGAGTTCATTCTTTATCTTGCTGTTTCCACCTATAAAGCCATAAACAAAAACACACGAAATGTATACCTGATGTACATGTTCTAAGTGAATAGATAAATTGTTCTCGTCCAGTCATGTGGTCACGTGTTGTCATCCCTATCGTATAAACATTTTTCCTTCAATTAATAATATAATATTATTATCTATTGTTGTATTATACATAGGTACGCCCCCCCCCCCCCACTGCGGGATGCAGTTGAGAACGAACAGGGCCTGGTAATCGCCATGAGAATATAATTTTTTTTTTTTAAGCTTCGGCAACTGGGGCCATTAGCTGTAACATATAAGAATAAGAAAATATGATAATATTTACAGCGCGAGTCACGTATTAAAAAGTATCGTTCAAATGTCGTCTGAGTTTTGTAAGCAACTGACTTTGTCGCAAACAAGATAATGAAGACAAAACAGTTAAAGACAGTTCCGGACAACTGGTCAATAAATTTAAAACATGTGAATAAAATATTAGTAAATATAAGTACAAAAAAAGAACAGAATTTTCAAATTTAATATTTGAGATAATTGTAACATAATGTTGACATAAGTTTCAGTGGCACTATCTGCTAGAGCCAAAAATAAATAATAATTAGCAAATTCTGTAACTCTCCAGCACTGCTTATAAGTTATAACACTTATAACTAAAGACCGACTTTAATTGACATTGCACCTGTGCTTGCGCACAAGATGAATCAAATCTGATCAAATATTGTGTTGTATTAAGTATCAACCTGAGTTATGTACTTTCTGCATATTTCATTTCAGAACGTAGTTTTTCTTTGTGCAAACATATTTTAAGTAATATAAGATACAACCGTAAAGAACCTAATTATTTGGAAATCTATTTGAATGTCAATTTTAATACAAACATTTATTTTTTTTGTTCGAGGATTTTTTTGTTATAATATTATAGAGGTTAGAGATTTACAATATAGTTACGATTTTCACAAGCTACATAAATTAATTTTACGCTTGGTTGTTGAATGTTGATGCGTTTGATTATAATATAATACTATTTCAATTAAAAACCAACTAGACAAGTAGCATAACAAAGCTGCAAGTTTATTTATGTAAATCAAGTTCATGAACAAAAATTGTTTTCTAATTATTTCGGTGATAATGAATTCTTCATTCAGCAACTAAGTGGTTGCGGTCACCCTCTAAACGGCGCAGCAAAACATGCGCCGGACGAATTTCTTCGTCCGGCTCCAAATTGAGCGACGCCGTTTAGGATTTATCGGGTCCCTGATGAACTCCTGCTCGTTGCCGTCACTGCATTTGGTTTCCCATCCCGGGTGGTCCACCAGTCCAAAAGTTAAATGTATATTTGGCGCTGAGGACCATCGACTCTGCGCTGAACAGTCCTCAAATTCGCTTGTCTCCCGGACTTAGGGCGATGTTGCTGGTAGTTCGGGGGCCGACTGCACGGACGTACACGATAACGCGTTAACTCCTTACGGCGTATCCATCGAACTCACAGCACCATTTTCCTGCAGCGACGCGTTGGATCCTGCGTCCTTTGGAACGGACATCTCGAGGTCCGATGGACTGGATGGGGGTCCTTTTTGTGTCAGCACGTCAGAAAGCTCAAAAGGGTTGCAGGGCAGCTCGGCCGGAGCGTACAAACACTGGTGGTAGACTTCGGAAAATACTGTAGGAATAAGTTTTGATGATAGTAAAAAATTACAACCACCACAAAGTCGGCAGCAAAATTATAATAAGAATTTGATAATATCATGATTTTCAATTTAGCACCTAACACCAATATGGGCAATATGGCTACTCTATTATGGTACTCTAAGGCATGGCTTTAAATATTTATATTACCTATTTATTAATTTAGCCATTCTCTAAAGGTTCCAAATTTAAATAAAAAATATACGACACGTAATTTATGTAGATAGGCTTTAGGATAGGATTTTGGAATGAATCACTTCGGTAGTTGGGTACTTGGGTATAATAAAATAGCACCAAAACGTCCAAAACAGTGAAAATAGCAAGTTTGATGATTAAATAAATTGAATATTATACTATAATTATTCATTTAAGGTTATTAACACAATATGTCTAAAATTTATGAACATGGTTACACAGGCCCGATGTTATCGATATCAATTTCGAAAAAAGAAAATTCTTATCATTTTTTGTTTCTGTGATAATATGAGTCGTGATAGTAAAATTATAAAATTTTAATGTAATAAGATAATAGGTATTAGGTTTTTTAAATTCTTAAATTTTTGAATGTAAACTGCAAAGTAACTATACTGACATACTGTCTATACTGTCTATACTTACTATTAGTATATTACCTAAAAAATATATTACTCATTACTATAGTGTCATAGACTAGTTAGTGAGTGTTGTGTGACTGGTCAGTTTTTGAGCTTACTTTTGAAAAAAACTAGCTCAACTGATCAACACAAAATTAAAACATGTCATCTCAAGTAGAAAAAACAAAAAAACCATTCGATAAAAAAAAATGGAGAACAAAGAAATACAGCAATAAACAAAGATGTAAGCATAATATCTAAATATAAATTATCCAAAGTGTAATTTCTTATTTTTAATTGTATTCATAGTACATCCATAAGATGAAAAATGTAATACAGTATAATAAAGAAAAAAAATAACTTAATATTTATTTTGTATACTCTGTTATATGTTTTTTATCCTATATACTTATTATGTCTTATGATATAGATTGTGTATTTCGACTTAAAAAAAAATTATTTATTTAAAATGAAATACAAGAATTTAAGAAAACAATTATTGTCAAAATGTGATCCATAATAGTAGATCAAATACTAGATATTATTCTTATCATGCCCAATGTTTTTCACATAATTTGTTATTTTTTTTTTTAAACCATTATATTATTTAGCATTTTAGCATTATAAATTATTTCCATTGGTTAACTAATGCTACCATTGCAATTTAGATTTTTTTCTACTATTATAAAAAAATATATAATAAAACTTACATTTATGTAGGAATCATCTCAGAAATAGTTGAAATATGACCAAAATATTTATATAAAGAACTAATATAATATGATATTATTCCTAAGACAGACTGTCTTCTCTGTATTTTGTTCAGATTAATATCATATTTTTTTCAGTCCAAGATTGGGATGAGCGTCGCAAAAAGGCTGTAATTCGTGATTACTACAAAGAGTTAAACAAAACTGGTAATGAGAGACCTTTGAATATATTTAATGATGAAGACACCAATCTAACTAAACAGCAAAAAAGGTAAAAAAAGAAACTTAAATATTAAATTGTTAAAAAATAAACATAAATTTTATACTTGCCAGTCCCTTTCTTATTATCTTCTGAAATCCTTTGGGCTTTGATGGTATGCAAAATTTTATTTTGCCAGAGCCCAGATTTGTATTTAAATGTTTCCTTTTTATGAGTATTCTCTGTCATACAACTTAGCTGCTAATAAATTGTCAGTTATATACAATACTTCAAGACTTAACTATACTTTTATTAACTTCCAAATTATCATTCAATATTTATAATACTTAAAATATTTATAAACGTTATGTTTTGTTCTCAGGTCAAATCCTCATAAAGAAGCACAAGAACGTTACAATCAAATCCAAGAGGAAAAGAAAGCTAGGCGTCTTGAAGCATCGAAAAAAAAAGAAGAAATTCGGCAGGCACTAGAAGAATATAAACAAAAGAAAAAGTTTAAAAATAAAAAACTTGGAAAAAAAACAAAAAAAGGTCAACCGGTTATGAAAGAAAGATTGGAATTATTATTAGAAAAAATACAAGCTAGTGTTAATACATAGTTGTATTTGTAATTTTAAACAAAAATACTTTGATAATGTGTTTTATGAAATGCTGTATTGTGTTAACTTTAAAATTGTTTAAGAAAAATAAACTTTTGGCATTTATAATTATTTTACAATTGTGAAAATGAATTCATTCTGTTTAGTATAAGTACAGAGATCTTAGGATTTTTAACAATACAAATCCATCAGGTTTTCAAATGAAATTGTTCTTAATCTGTCCAGTATTCAACTGTACTCATTTCTTGTTCAATAAACTTTCAATATTGAATAATTTCCAATTTAATATTTTAGTTTTTTTTTTTTAAATAAAGTGTAGTTATTTAATTTTTAATATTTTAAGGTTTAACGATATGTTCAAGGTGAAGTTTGTCATATTCAAAACTCAAATAATTTTCTTAATAATTGTAATATTGTGTTAAAAACTCACTGACTGCTACAAAAACATTTTTTTGTATTCTATAGTATGATATATGTTTGTTGTTGGTCTTGGGAAATCAACTGTATTGTTAATATAAAATAATTTTTGTACGTCTAGAAAGAGTTCAAGGTTATTAGAAAAAAAAAATTGTTACCTAATGTCTACCAATATTTTACCAACTTCTCACCAAGTGTACACTCATTTCTCAAAAAAATAATTAGATAATAGGCCAATTATATAAGCTACAACATCATATCTACAAACAAATTGAACCGCTCATTTTTAAATGACTCAAATTTTGTAAAACTATTGCAGGTTTAAAATAACTAATTTAAGATCTATATAATTTTACTATATTTTGATACATACTTTACATTCGTTGATAAGTTTTATTTACACAATTTTAATATTATGAATATAAAATGTTATCTATACTCCAGTCATGTTAAAAAAGGAACCTCGACAGCAATCAGATACACTCGTCTGTTATCCTTACCAAGTCAACCATCTGTACGCCTGCAGTGTAGATATTTTTTGTTTCATAGGAGCCAATAACTATTGAGATTTGGAGGAGGGGCTGAATAATTGTGATGCAAAGATGAACATTTTTTTATTTATTCCTTCGATATGGTGTAAAATCTTGAGGTTATTTGGAGGGGGTCTTAAACCCTCCAGGCCCCTCTGCTATTTGCGCTGTATCCCTGTGCACAAGTCAGCAATCGAGGTACCTTCTAAACTTGAGTAGAGTATCTAATTGTATTTTAATTGACATATATTTATTACTTAATAATTCTTTAATAAGGTGAAATCTTAAAACTAATCTTCCAATTCCAAATTATATTAAAAACATTATTTATAATTACAAAAATGTATATTATTGAATCATATCCAAAGACGCAATATTTAGAAAATATTTATTTTGAACACATTAAGTTGATTTATTTATACTAAGGTGTTAAATTTTTTACTTAATATAACAAAATTTAATTAGAAAAAAACAAAGTTGAACCATAACTTTATCTAAGAAAATATAACAAAATACAATGTAAAGGCGATAGTTACCAAATGATCGGTATTCAGTATGCACAGAGTGCAAACATTGGGAATATAATTCTGATATAATTTACTTTCTGTACAATTATATTGATTAAAATTATAAGCTGCAATAACTGTATTTATGAAGTCTACAATCATTAATATCATACTAGTGAACAATATTATTAATAATATAAACAAAAAACCATATTGACCCAATAAACATGTTAAACTTTTCTTATCCTGACATCAATAATCAGTCTTTTTTAAATATTATATAGCCCATGGTCCTTTTGTTATTAAGTTTGACAATTAAACTAATAAAATAAAATGAATCCAAGAAAACAAAAAAAAAAAATTCCAACATTCATAAATTGTAACTTAACTGTAAAATATTGTATATTAAACCAAATTGTGTTCATAAATTGTCATTTTTTATTATTATTTTTATATTTTCTGATCAATATAAACTTTAATAGCTTTTAAAACATTTTATACAGTGTTTGCACATAAATTTTTCAGGAGTTAATTCAAGCATGAAAAATATAAATTAATGTTATTGCTAACATAATAAACACCACAACACCTGGTTGTAAGGCAAAATTATTTCTAAACAATAAAATGAACTAATATGAAATTTAAACATCAAGTAAATACAAAAATAACAGTAGGTAATTTTATTTTATACAGTCTTTATTATGATAAATAAAATTATTTAACGTAAAGACGAATTATAATCAAAATATCATAAAAACAGTTTGTGGATTGTGATATCCCTAAAAAAAATACAGTATATGAAAAAATTAGCCTACAATAATTATGCGGTTTTTACTATGTGTAATGAGTTAACCCTTTGGTACATGGTGACAAAACTCAAAGGTTTTACCGATTTGTATAAAATGTAGGTATTCTTTTTAAAATATAAAATACTTGTAATACATAAATTCTAACGTCTCTTAGGATAATGAAGGTTATCTCTTCTCCTACGGTCAGTCTTTTGAGACCGTTCCATCTCTGCAAGATGTTTACGTCGTTGGTCTTCTTTCTCTGCAATCTGTTCAATAGAAAGTGGAGACCAATAAAGGGTTGGAGTAGTTTTGGTCTTCCGAAAAAGCTCATCTAAACTTTTTGTAGGAATACGATCTGGTGTTTTGGTTTTTGACTTTTTATGTTTATCTTGTAGATCTTTTTCGTCCTTCTTTAATTTTTTATCTTTTATAGTATGAAGATCGTCAGATATTTTTCTTTTAATAGGTTTCTCATCTTTTTCATCTTCACCATTCATATCTTCCAATTTACCTCTATCCCATTCTCGTAAAATAAAATGATTTTCTACCTGTGTTCTAAGTTTTTCTACTTTAGACTCTTTTTGTTTATCTAATCGGTCTGGATGAGTTCCACTCAGGGCTTTATTTAATTCTTCTTTATTTGTAAAAACTACTCTCAAAAATTTTGGATTGGTGGAAGGCCATTGGGAATCATTGAGTGCATATACAGTTTCAATGGCTTGATCTTCATTTTCATATTCAACAATACATTGGGATTTAATTGTATCTATCCAAAATCCATTAGAAACAATTTTTCCTGTTCTTTGCAACAAATCTCTTAGTTGGCCCACAGTGAATGGCCTGACAAGGTTTGTAATACGAATTACACTAGTAGTTGTAGTACGCTTTACAGATGATTTTTTTTTTGTCTCTACTTCATTTATTTCTTCTCCCAATGACTTATCCGATTTATTATCATCGTTATCTATGAAAGGTTTCTCTTCTTCTTCTGGTGCTTCGTAATCAACCGCTTCGTGATCAATTAACATAGTGTCGTTAATTTCCATGGCTTCTTCAACATCTTGTTCGTCATCTGAATCTGTCCTTTGTATTTCTCCTTCTTCTGATCGATACTCACCATTATCAGCAATAGAATCCCCATTAGATTCTATTATAGTACCTAAAGTAAAAGGACTTATCGTTATAGGTGTTCTTGTTTTACAAGAGCCCCATTTACGTTTTGGGTGTGAAGACAATTGTTTTGGCGTTTCATTTAATTCTTTTTCACCATCAACCTGTTTTATATTAGGTATATCTGATGATAAAACTTTATAAGATTCTTCAATTGGTGTAATTTCTTTTTTATCTACTAATTTAGATTCATCTTCATTTACTGGTTTAGATTCTATTTCATTTACATTAACTGAATTGGATTCTTCTTCATAGACTGGTTTAGGTTCTTCTTCTCCAACTAGTTTAGTTTCTTCCTCAATTGGTTTAGGATCTTCATCATCAACTAAATCTGGTGATTCAACAGTTAATTGTACAACATCTTCCATTTGTTCTGAATCATTAATATAATCAGGTTTATTGAACTCTTCTTGTACTGGGTTTTCATCTATTGTATTTATCTCAACATTTGATGCAGTTTCTAAGACTTCAGGTTCATTTACTACACTTTCAATAGATTCTGGTACAATATCCTGAATCTTTTCATTTAAAGCTATTGGAATATCAATAACTTCTCCAATAGTTACACAATTTTCTTCTAAAACAGGTTCTGATACATCAAATTCATCAACGGATGGACGGACTGTAGAGTCTGGAAAATCTTTTGATGAATTAATGGAATTGATTGACTCTACCATGATAGCAGCAGGTTCTACAACTTCTTCGTGAATTTCTTTTTCTTCAACTTTAGATTCACTAACTACTGCATCAATAAGTTGTTCATCAGTAGAGGTATTTTCTACAATAGGTTCTTCATCAGGTGTTATGAATTCAGATGAAACTTCAACGCTGTCAATTTGGTCATCATCATTTTCTTGATTGCATGATGGTTCATTGGGAGGGATAACTTGCACTGGAAATGAAAATAATACAGTTTAGGATTACTATCTTTTAAGAAACAAGGAAATCTAAATATAATGAGATTGTTAGTTATTTGATGCATCATTCTGTAAACATAAAAACGTCTTTTTGATTAATATATGGACACCTAATATTTAAGGTTCAATTCAATTTTTTGATTTAATATCATTGTTAAATTGATAAAATATTAGATACCTAAATTGAATAAATAAAAAAAACAAGCATTAATTGTTGATCCTTAGTTAGTAGATATAATCTATACAAAATGTGGGGAGAAATTTAAACAAATGGTTTATTAGCGTGACAAAAATTTAAAATTTGTATAGATATATAATTTTTAACTACAGAACAAAAAATAGATTTTTATTACAAAAATAAAACACTAAAAAATTTGTTTGGTGTTGTTTTCATTTCATTGTACAGTAAATAAATTGAAAGCAGAAATGTTAGTAAGACAACAAATTAACACTGCAGTTAATGAATTTCATTATTTCTTATTAAATATAGGTACCTAAGAACATTATTATATTTGTTTATACCTACATTGATAAATAAAATTATGTATTTACGTATTAAATGGCGTATTTAATAAAACTAAACTCATAATTAACTATTTCATTATTTCAATGTTACCTATACCTAATACTCAATATTTTATATTATACTAACAAACACTGTAAAATATGAAAATAATTTAATACAATTTGTTAGTGCAATAAAAAATGTATGCACAAACTCAATTTTTCTAACACTATCAATACTTGGTTGAACACATTAATTAACTTTTAAAGTCTGAACAGTTAAAATTGTTTGTAATTATTACAATTGATATTATTTTGAATACTTAAATGTGATATGAAAAACATTTATTGTAAGCTAACCTACAAGAAAAATATTAACATAATCTTTTTATTGAAAAAATAGTTGAATTATGTTTTGTTATATTATTATCTACAACAAACTACCCAAGTATCTAAAATATACCTAATAAAAACCGATGAAAATGTCTAAATTAGGTTATTGTTGTTAGTGTTAATGTAAATATCTTTTAGCATTACCTTGTTCACTAGAATCAACTATGTTTTGTTCACTTTCTTCAATAGCCACAGTACTACAAAACTGTTCTAAATAATTTGTAACGCTACCATCCAACATAGATGTGTTTGTTGAACTGCCTGCAGCTTCTTCTTTTTCTTTTCTTTCAGCTGAATATTTAGCTTCAGCAGCCTGTTCTCTAAGTAAATCCTTAGGAGAACGCCTCAAACTAATTTTTAACTTCTGAATATCACCATCTGATCCATTGGAACACTCAACTTTCCACATACCAGTGGTATTCTCTTCACTGCAATCATTACTTTCTGGCTTAGGCAGTTTTATCGTAAGTGCAACCTTCCTTTCACCCTCGTCAACTCTGCTAGTAGCTCGGGTTTTGCCAACTTTAGGGGGTGGCACATCTTCTGATGAAGTTTCAGACGTAGACGAATGCCGCCTAGTACGACGCCTTGACGTACGTTCACGTTTTGGCTTACGACCGGTTCTTTTGCTCATTTTATGATTTTATTACAAAATTTTTCACAAGGTTCACTATCATATACTCACGAGCACAAGGGACATTATAAACATTCACAATATAAATTTTCAAATAAAAAAAATCACTGGCAGTACTTACTACAGCATAGCGGTAAATTCACGTCCTTTATTTTACAGTGCAAAACTTACAAAAAGGTTTTTCCACAAGTCGATCCATTTATACGAAGACTTAACGTAATTTCTGTTTTGGAAATTAAAAAAACGAATCAATAAGCACCAAATTTTTGTTGTACTCGAAACGAAACGGCGGCCATTTTAATCGTTTATCAACACAAACACATTTCATCGACATCAACTTTCTCCATTTTTTTTTTTTTTATATTCGTACTTAAAAACACCAATACAATTTTGTCAAAAATAATTTATCAAGCACAGGTTTTTTAAAAATCAAAATGAATCAAATATTATATCGAAATTAGATTTAATAATATTTTTTTAGTAAAAATTGAAAAAGTATATCACAATAATTTTATGGTGTAAGCAGTTGGCAAACTTGTCAAAATATCATTTGATAACTGTAATCTGCTATTGCCTATTTCATTGGTCAATTGACAATTATTAATTAAACTCAACTTATTACCATAAATCATACCGTATCAGAAACAGAACCAGAATTTTATCAGATGTCTTGATAGTTGAAATGAGGATAAAAAATAATCTTAAAGTTCATACAATACAATCATAGTTCATTACTTCAATGAAGTCACATACTGTGTGTTAAATAGTAAAAATGTAAAATGTTCATAATTAGTACTTACTTGTTATACCAATATATATTATGTGATTTGAATGTCGAAAATTCAAACTGGTAAATTACCGTTCCTTTTAATTGATTATAATTTAACTACATTAGATAACAAAGTTTTTGATTTAAACAAGTATGTAAATTAATATATATTATTCCCCTATTTATGTATTATAAATAGGTTTTAAGCAAGACTTACCTTTAATCAATCATGTGTAACTAAATTATCCTAAAATACATATGTCAATTGTCACACCCATGATAATGTAATCTATTTAAAAATTAAATTGTAAATTGAATTCTTCACTGACATTCAAACATTCAAAGTTGCTAACACATTTGTTATTTAATTAGTCTATATTGTTCACTACGAAACTATGTACAAATATTCTACACATCACATCTTTAGTGGCAGTATTTACTTCTGGAAATAAGGTTTATTTTTTAATCATTTATCCCTTATACATACTTAATGTTAAGAATAGAAAAAATATATTTCAATAAAACAAATTATTATTTAGTTAACAATGTATTTGATTTAAATAGATCTTATTGCAATCATAACATAAAAGCCAGCGTACAAAATTACTACTTGTTATTAAATCTGAAATTGACATGATGATTTTAAAATTCACTTGCTTATCATAGTTCAAATTATTGAATATATTGAAATACATTTTTTCTTCAATTTTTCCCATTTATTATTTTATTTTTATATAAATCATATGTAATGTTACTATTAACTATTGAGACTGATTTTTATTTTCTTAAATCATGTTTTATACAGGTTTTTTTATCCATTGTACTATAAAATTTAAATTAGAGTTTATTTTCAATCTCACAGAATCAATTTCCTTATTTTCAGAAGTATGCTGGTTCAACAAAATTTATCAGTGGGTATCAAAGAGATTGTGACTTGTTGATTTAATATAGTTTGAACCATGAAATTTAAAAAGCATATGGAAACATTTTTACAAATAATGAAGGAAAAAGCACAAACCAAACTTTCTGAATCAAATAATTCACGAGCTGAATTATATAACAGACTTGCGGTTTATCGTCCAGAATATGATAAAGTTGTTTCATGGTATGAACGGGTGACTGGCTTAAGTGAAGTTCGAGTAGCCCAAGATAGAGTGTTGGAGTCTCAAAAACAGTTTATGAATGCTCAAGATAGAAGAAGAGATGTATCAGTAGAACTAAGAACAATTCAAAATAAACTAAAAGATATTCGAAATGAACTTCTAAATACTTCTAGATCAGAAGATAGGTATATTGAATTAGTAACACAGGAACACAATTTATTAAAACAAGAAAATTCTATCATCGATCGGGTTAACTATAGTGAAAAAGAGGAAAGAGATAGTTTCATATTGCTGTCCACCACATTGAAAGATAGTCATGACCGAGAGAGAATACAAGCGGAGAGGACTAAATATGTATCTATTGTTGGCTCAATTCTGGGTACTATTATTGGTATAATTGGAAGTACTTTAATCAATGCATGGAAAATGAATGAATTCAAAAGAATGGTGTTGGATGCCAAATTGGATTCATCAAATTCAAATAAAAGTGATCAAATAAAACATTTATTGTTACAAGTTCAAAAACAAAATAAAATGTTGAAAAATGCACAGTTCAAGTTAAATTCAGATAAACCGACAAGTATCGTAGAGCCAGACTGGAAATACACTGACCGTGATGTAATTATTCTAACAACTATAAATTGTACTATAGTAGCTCTGTCAGCATATTTAGTATCTAAATTATTTTAATCCGTGATACCTGTTCGAAATGTTGAAATGTTGTTTTTTATTATTGTTATTGGTTTTTTTTTTTTTAATAAATGATGTTTCCCCATTAAGCTAGTTAATGTACATTAAGAATTTTCATGTGATAAATAGAAGTCGGATTATTATGATTTTAATGATTCATTAATATTTTTTACGTGTGATCTTAAATGGAATTGAGAAATCTTTACGAATCAAGAAACACAAAATTCACAGGAAAAAATTTATTTTGCATAAAAAATCATATTTTAGTGATTAAAGAATATTTTGTAGTATCCATATGATGAACATATCTCACGTATATCAGCACTTTGATGAATATAATGTTTAAACGATTGTTTACAATTTAACTATAAAACCTTACACCTAGTTACTAGTTATCAACATACTTATAATAATCGTAGGTCTTTAATTCAGTAAAATTTTTTAGTTTCAACTTACAGTCCTACTTGGATAAAATTTGAATACCTATTAAAAAATTAAAATTTTTATTTGATTCTTAAGAACATAAGTGTTACTACACATAACATTATCACATCATCATACATCAATAAAAAATATTTTTTATGTTTTTCCTGTTTAGAAAAGAAAAATATATAATCAGTAAAAAATATGTATACAACAGGCATGTTTTGTAAAAAAAATAGTAAATTGGCAATGCTTTGCATAACTTATAAAAAAAGAAAACCTCATTATTAGCTATTAATATGCACGAGTCAATGCCAATCTTAAAATTACAAAATGAACGAATGGATCATAGCAGGAAAAATGTCCTACTGTCCATGACGTCATTATGCCGTTTATCATTGTTGATAACAGTAGACAAAATGCATTTATGCAAAATTGCAAAATCATTTTTCTAATTTTTTATGATTTTTAAGTAATCTTAGAGACTAGACTAAAAACACCCATTACAAAAAGATGTAGAATAAAATTTTTGATATCGATTTTATATTATATTGTTATTTGACTTAGTATTCAATTTTTAATATAAACAACAACAAAATGTACCTACATTTAAATTACATTTAAAATGGTTTTGAGGCAATATTTAGACAAATTGATATGTCGATCCCTCAAAAATATTATCCTCTATATTTTTTGTAATGGGTGATTTTACTTTTAAGATTACTTAAAAAACAATTCTGAGTAAATGTGTTTTGTCTAGGTTGAGTGTGGACCAGAGAGAGTAAACAAATAGGTATAATAAATTCCAACAAATTTAAAAAAATGTATTTAAATAGGAAGTTATTTTATTTTTTGTCTAATATCAGAATAAATTTCCATAGAATAAATTATCATAAATATTAGAAATTATCATAGAGTATTATTACTCTATGGAAATTATAAATAGGTGATATTTATTTTTGGTAATTATCTATTTAAAACAATAAAAACTAAAAAGTACCTACTATTTAAATAATAAGTATAATGTTTAAAACAAGTTAAAACAAAAAAATGAAGACAGGAGTTTTATATATTACTAAAATCAAAAAGTAATGAATATCAAAATAAATCTATGTGTATGTATTATAAGTAATTTAAAATATAAAATGATTATAAATGCAAATTGTCATTAATAAATAATAAAGAAAATAAACAATTTAATTCAGCATAGTTCAGTGGTACTACTATTAGTTCTATTGAAAATAAGAGGACGTGATACCCGCATGTGTTGTCTCCGTCTTACAAGTGCGTACCATGGCAAATTTTAAGCTCATCAGAACACGTTTAGCTCCGTTAGTTTAAAAATTAGTGCGTATTGTCCTCTTATAAAATCTAAAGGTAAGATTATTATCTAGTCAACCTCATAGGTTTTTTATTATATTTTAATTTTAACTCGAGTTATGAGTATTTTAAGATGTATAAAAAATTTGCAATTTTAAAATACTCATAACTCGCGTTAAAATTAAAATATAATAAAAAACCTATGAGGTTGACTAGATAATAATCTTACCTTTAGATTTTATAAGAAGTCAATTCGCACTAATTTTTAAACTAACGGAGCTACACGTGTTCTGCTGAGCGTAAAATTTGCTATGTTACGCACTTGTAAGACGGAGACAACACATGCGGGTATCACGTCCTCTTAATGTATAATCATATCTTATCACATCATGTCGTTTTTGGTTCACATTTTGTGTGCTTAATTGACTAATATACTACATTTATATTGTGGTTAATATACAACATCAGGGCCGGATTAAGGTTTTTGCCGCCCATAGGCTGAAATTAATTTACCGCCTAATTTACATAGGTATTGATATTTTACTAATATCTCAATCTCAACATAGTTTTCGGGTCACACAAAAAAAAAAAATTGCCGCCCTAGGCTGTAGGCTACACAGCCTAAGCGGTATTACGGCCCTGTACAACATCAATATTATATTATAAACTTTAACAACCTAGGTACTCACCTTATTTGCCCTTAGGTACATAAACATGTAGTTTGGTCTTTATTTTGATGATATATTATCTGTGGCTGTGAATATACAGACCGATTGGAACGATGTTGACTTCACTTCTATTCTACAATTGCAGACATGAGTAACAGATAATGAGACCGAGTAGCTATTCAATAGGATAACCTCGTGACTACCGAATACAAAACCAAAAAACTCACAAGTAATATTATGTAATTTATTAAATTTAAAAAAAAGAAACATGTATATATGCATATATAGGTATATATAGTACACCTATGTAATATGAAATGTAATGAAGGTAATTACACTGCCTTTTCAGATATATTTTGTTACAAAATAAAAGATTATAACTACGGGTATAGGTACACTGATATATATACAAATACATAAAGACAATTATACAATATACCTAGTAGATACATGAGTTTATTATACATATTATTAGGTATTGTTTTCTTTATGTTTATTTAAGTTAGTTATCAATTGATTAATTTCATTTAATAATCATAATTAAAGCAATTTACATGACATTAGTATGTGTTATACTACTATTATTACAGACACCAAAATTAGAATTGCATAAACGTTGATTTCAGTTACAGCTGTACTCTCAGTATAACACAATGTAGATATGCAGCTTGTGTAAAAAAATAGCTATGAATATCAATTAATATTAATATTTTATCTTTGATGACCAAACATAGTTCGTTGGTTTAAAAAAAAATAAAGATACTGGATGTGAAGATTATTGATTTTGATATTATTTCTTTTTACTTAACTCCATAAAGAATGTAGATGATTTTTATTTATTGTCTTTTTAATGTGTCAACAAAATTATTCAATATTATATTATAATTTAAGTAAGAACATATGAATTTTATATACCTACCTAATCAAATAAATATTTTAAGAATAAAGTTCCTGCCCCTTCTATAATACTGCCATACGGACATACGGCAATACGCGTGAAGCCATTCCAAATAAAGAACAGAGAAAACAATAACTATATATAGAGATAATAAATATTGATTGTAGGGATCCTATCCGAGGGGTATCGTCAAAATATTACTCTTTTGTCGTATCGATAACTATTTACTTTGTAATTAAAATTAAGCTAAATGTTTTTGGCTAGATTTAGATACCGTTTTCCAAATAACTTGTGATTGGAAAAATATATACCTAGTATAATACATATTTTGTGATGTGTAGTATAGAATAATACATTTATAGATTTATAATTTGTTAATGTAGTTATGTAAAATGTCAATGTGTCTTACGATATTAAGATGATAATTAAAAACTACGGTGTCCTTCAACAAGCGGGGGGCCCTGGACATATGTCCCATTTTGTCCTCCTCTAGCGCCGGCACTGATCGAATGATTCACTAAACAATCATCTGCACCAGTTCATTTAATTGAAAGAAGAAATTGAGAATAAATCATAATTTTATAATAATTTATACATTACTTTTATGTCTGTATCATGTAACTAATGTACCTTATACATAAAATGTATTTAGATTTTAAGCAAGTAAATGCAATTTTTAACTTTTATATGGTTTGTACATTTTAAAGAATTCACAAAATCACAACTGACACTAATTTTATTTATTGAAAGTGACGCCTGCGAGGGCAGAGAGTACAGTATATATAAAATGGAAATAACATAATAAGAATAAACTAAAAACAAAGAACCATTTTTTTCAGCTTAAAAATAAAAATAAAATAAAAAAATTTAAAAAAATATTATATTCATTAAAAAATACTTTTTTCCGATCTAGAAAAATAGTTTTAAAGTTGTGACAAGGTATATTATTATAAATCATAAACATTATAGTTTTCGTCCACGTACTATCTTATATGTTTATCCACATACTATTATCAAAAAGTCCTAATAAATTACTTTTATTATTAAATGAAACACCTTCAATAAAAAAGGTACTCATAAAATATAACACTCGCCTTCCAAGTAGTACATCTGTTGAAAGAGTTTTTAGTGTCGGAATTTCGGAAGCGTAGTGTTCACAAAAAAACGTGGTCGTATGAGCGATGACAACTTTGAAACAGTTATGTTATTAAAATGTAATAAGAATGTATTTGATTGAATTGTAAAGACTTACTATAAAATATATGACAACGATTTGCAATTATATTATATTGATGTATTTTAAATTATTATCTACCCAATAAATGTTAATTTCCAATTCCAACCATTCCAAAACCAACAAAAACTAGTGATGAAAAAAAAATATTCTAATAATATTCGAATACTTTTAAAAGTATTCAAATATGTATTCTGAATATGTTTTTTAAGAATTATTCGATTACGTATTCTGAACCCAGTACCGTTATCCCGTGAATTGATCGCAAATACAATTTATAGCCAGGATAATTGATCGCCGAACAAAAATGTTTAGTTTTTTTTTTACAACGTACATAATTTTACTACGTATTATATTTCCGAGTTTCATGTTTATTATTTTAGACTATTCAAATATAGGTACCAACTCGTATTTATTTAATACGAGATTAATTTAATGTATTAAATATAAATTGAATTTAAAGTTAAAGTTGAACATTATGGTTTATTCCTTCTAAAAATTCTATTTTATTCCTTTTCTCGTATGATAGTCGTTGTATTTTCGTTTATAAAATAGACTTTTGAAAAGGAATATAGCATAAAGAGCACTAATAGATAATAATCTATAGATGCATATAGAGAGCATAATTTTTAACTTCAGCTCTAAATTTAAGAATTTTTAACTATTGACAATGTAATGTTTAATTTATATTTGATTTAAATTTTACAACTAATATTTATTCAATTTTAAAATTTTTTTTTTTTAAATTTTTTTATAATTTAATTAATTGTCATCATATCGTATTAATTGTTATTTATATAATAACTAGAGCGGTATTTAAAAATTATTAAATAAGAGTTGGTACCTATTTGATGTATAATAATATATGATATACATGGATAACTGATATCGGTCGCATTTGTCGATCCTATTCTCGGCCCGGTGTCGCACGCACCCACCGGCCTGGAATCCCGCTCAGCTGATTGCCCGAAGGGGTCTCAGTCGTTTAGAACAGCTCTAGCTCAGTCTCGGCTAGCCTCTCGTCTTGCTCCTTGCAACTAAGAATGTCATCAACTATTTGATAGAAGACCCGCGTGGCGTGTTGAGAAGTAGCCAATATTCTATCGTTCGTGCAAATCGGAACGTCGGTGGGACCACACAACAGGTCCTGTACGTCGTTTGGAGTGATGTTTCGGTTGCCTATGAGGCTATGAACCCGTTCACTGCCAGCCGCATCGGTTCCCAGTGGGGACAATAAAAAATGGTATGTCCAGCAGTCTCCATCGGGTGCTGACAGTTAAGGCAAGCCGCATCAGGGGCGCGATTCCTCCGATGCAAATAGTCCCTGCGTGAAGCACCCATGTCCCGCAAGAGCCTGTGTAATGTGAAATGTGAGATCTTTTGGACGTCTTTTCACCTATCTTATCGGGTCCGGGAGGAGCTTACGCTTCCAGGCTGCGTTCTTACCGTCCCTCCACCTAATGGACCAGGCAGCAGGCAGGACGTCGCGCCCCTCTTCTCAGATCTCATCCTTAGAGCCCACTCTATCTGGATCATCCATTTTGCTGTGAACTCTTTTACGTTCCAAAGCGAGTAGATCGCCCGGTGGAGTTCCCGCGAGGAATAAAGTTCCTCGGCAGAGACGATGCGGTACGCCCTCGTCACTCTAAGGGCCGCCAACCTCTGAGACCGAATAAAGCTCCGACAAATAGCGTACTTTGTTGCTCTTTCTGACCATGTCGATGAGGCGTACATCAGCCAGCTGTTAACTACGGACATGACCAGCGCTCTCAAGCCATAAAATTAGTTTTAAACCTGCACCCGTTTTATTATTGTCCGATGGGTGGTCAGGCTTTTGATTTTGGTGAATAAATTATTCTCTCCCCCTCCTCTAGATTTTTATCCAGTTACGCCACTGTCCCTACCCATGGACATATACACCTACTGGGAAGCCGGTAATATCCTGGTAAGCCCCCTGTCCTAATTCTGAAATTCAAAATTTATGAAGTTTGATTTTTTTAGGCATTCAAATAATATTTTAAATTCAAAATGCATGCTGTTTTTGTATGATTTTGCAGACTGATAATCACCGATAATAATAATAACTGATAATAACCTAACCTGTAAGGCTGCCCCTCCGGTTGTTTATGTTCTTGGATTGGTGACCAATGACCACCCAAGAAAGAGATAAGTACTGTACTTACATAATATACCCTAAAACCCATATAATTAAAATATAAAACAATATAATTTTGGAGTTACGATTTGAATCTGTTGTTTATGAAATAAAAATAGCGTATTGAACATTAGAAATAAATAGTTGCATTAACCTTGTCAATATCGTAACCATACATAATATAGGTGGCTAACCTAACCTGGTACCTATTATGTCCCGAGTTTTTAAACAATTAGCTAACAACTACATGTAATTAAATAATATACAACTCTCAAATTTTGAATTTAGAAATAATTTAAGTACCCATTGAATTATTCATTTATTTGATTTGAACTTTTTTTTAAATAGAAATCTTACTTCAATTAGACTGTGCAAGTATACTTCATTACAATTTCGTGTCATAGAACAATATTATATTAAATAATGCTGAAATGTTTTCTATTAAATTGTTAGGTTATTCAGTCAGGTATTATACTATTCGATTGATTATATTGAATAGTATAAAATGTAGGTACCTACGAATTGTATAATATGAATCCAACGTTTCACCAACCAATAGAAACCGAATAACAAAAGCAATTTTAATTTTAAATATATTTTATTTAATCTGACATAAATTTGGCAAGGAAATGAAATGCAGAAAAGAGTTTTTCAAAAGCTTAAAATAGAAAAAGGCATTAAAGGTTTAAGGCATAAATATGTACAATGATATTTCAATATTGGACAACCATATTTTTTTCGGATTGAAAACGCAATGAACAAATTATTGGTTTTCAATTATGATTTATTTTATATTTACGTTACCTTTAAGCAGTATAATATAGCTATACGCCTTTATGGCCAAACCTATTAAGTTATATGGATGAGTATCAAATCCGTCTCTCATTCAACTACCTGTGATGACAATAGAACCGTGAACTAAGTGAAATCGAGTAGAAGCCTTGAGTATAATATATAATGCCGACTGTAAATTATATAGACGGATATCATTATTATTTTAAGAAAAGGGGGTTGATAAAGTGTAGTGACTAATAGAGGGTATAGGTACATAATATATTATATATAGGTCAAACTATTATAATATTATACAATATACAGGCACGCCCTTTAAATGCATTGCGTCCAGAGAGTACTTACGTCCAAATATTGGGTTTTTATTCGAATCTAGGTCAAAATATTCACAATTTAGAAATAAGTTGCAATAATGGAGGTAACAAAATAAAAACTGAATAGCTCTAACTGGGTACCTGCAATAAAATCAGACCACCACAGACCAAAACTAAAACATCCCCATTCTCTGCGAACAATATAATTATGATAGTTACCTATACTCAGTCATTTTGACTTCTGCAGAAAGATCTCGATGACACCGATTGACGATTGTAGTTATAATAGCCTGCAGCGCTTATCTTATTGGCTGGACGCAGGAAGGTTGACCTACATAAAGTAAGTTTTCAGATACTTTAGAGTACCTAGATACCCACTGTATTTAAATTAGGCAAAATGGGATGGTACGTTGAGGCTCTAAATAAGATTAAAAAAAATTCTTATAAGTCATTTATGGAATATGGAATTCATTAAAAAAAGTCTGATTAGTGAAAAGTAGGCAATGAAAAATAATCGATTCCGCATTGAAAAGATATTTATTTCCTGCAGTGTCAGCTTAGCATTTAGGAATATGTTTGTTATAGTTAAGATTCGGGATAGATTTAGCCACTTTAGACCAAAAATATTATTATTTAAATATTATGTTATTATTATTCTTTTAAATCATAATATATTACAATTAGGTACACATATTATTATACATTTATAAATACATGTTGAGGTTATGGTTGAAACTTTGAAAGTATAAGTAGTAAGTGCCTTCCTACAGGACACAGGTAATAACTTATGAAACGTTTATTGGTCGTGGTAGTAGGTATACCTTTATTATTCTTTTTCCAAGTCAAGCACTGATAATTGATAAGTGCAGACTACAAACTCTATTTTTCATAAACGCCATAATACCTAATAGTAAAAATAGCCTATCAATAAATATAATGCACCTATATGTATATATGTAGGACGTAGGTACACGATACACGCCATTTTTGGTGACTGGTATCATCATACATTCATACAGGAATACAGAATGAATCATGAAACATACTCTCCCCATATTTTCCTCTTTAATTTTTGGACATTTTAAGTATAATAAATTAAGCCCTATATTGGCTATATTAAAGACCACATTTTCAAATCCTTAGATAGGTATTTTATGTTTATACAATTTAAAAAAAAAGCATTCTATATGTAGAACTTTTTTATAATCAGAATAAATCGACTGCAATGCTTTTCAAAATAATTGAAAAACAAAAAAAAATATTGCTATTATGATTTATGTTTAACAATCAAGTCTCACCCTCTCACGTCTCAAAAGTTCTACACCATCAATAAAGTTCCGAGTTAATTTGTACCTACTTATTAATTTATTCACATTCCAACTATGGGGGTTGTTTTTTCTTTCAGACTTATAATTCATAAAACATGCAAATAGGAAGCAAGTTAATACCACAAAACAGTGATATTACCTAGGTGGCTATGGATAGGTAGTAACTAGTAGGTATAACCCATTGGCTAGTATAATAAAATAATTACACAACATTGCATGTAGGTATAGGCGTATAGCGTAATATTTATGTATATAATATGGAAATTTAATATTATAATATTTACCAATTTACCTATTCTACTTTTTCTATTTCATTATTATACTGTGAAGTGTTGGAGTACTATACTATTTTATAAGAGATCCACAGTTCATCAAAAATGTTGATAACTTTATGTTAAAAATGAATATGAAAAAAAAAAATTAATATTTACGGCGGTTTCTTAGAGACATCCAACTATTATAGAAGTACATGCCAAAAACATAGGACAAGGCTATAGGTTTATATATACGATATACCTATTCAAATAGTTTGAAAGTACGTTTGTCGTTTAGGAATGAGATGTTTAGATGACAAATGTAGACACAATCAATGTACAATTGAAAGGCCGAGTGCAACAACCAATTATTACAGGTAATTATATACAATATAACGGCCTACTAATTACAGACGTGTGTAAGGGGACAAAGAAGTTGTGAGACATTTTATAATACTGTAGAATACTACAATAGTACAATATCATACTGTTCACTGTTACCTAAGTATAATATTAATGTTTGTTTTTCTATTTAAAATTTAAAAAAAAATGATGTTTTTTGCTGAAAAGCACTGTGGTAGAATTTGTGGTAACATTAATACAGTTACCGCGGTATAGAAACATCCGCAGCGGCAAAGGCTGTTGCTACACAACCCTGTATAAGAAAATCAATATATTAGACAGCCCTACTCGAAATTCGCATATCGCCGCGACGCCTCCGTCCCTATTTACTCTATAGCCCATAGTTGTATTCTGCATCAGCAAGTCAACGCACTCTAGCACTATTATTATACGTACCCTCGTTAATTCCGCGACAGTTCGTACTTTTTACCAGTTATTTGAATAATATAGGTAATTTATTCAATATTTTGTGTTTACCCAGGGTACCTATATGCTTCTTTCAAGTCGAAGTGATCGAACTAGAATGCCTATCCTTCAATGTTTTTTAATATTTAGTTGCTTGTTCGATCTATATTGAATGCCCAAACTCCTTTCATATTTATTATTTTTTATAGATATTTCTCAAAACCCTCTGAAATGGAATTCAAATTCGATATAAAAGATTTAGCTGAGGGAGGAATTGCGAAAATTGATCATACTTTAACACCACTTGGCTGCGAAGAAGATGAAAAGTATGATTAAAAATCATGCGTGTAAAACTACTATACTACCGGCAATATTATTTTTTTTAATTTTACAGCTTACAAAGGAAAGTCGCAATGATTATTGACGAAATGGGTAAAGCATCTGCCAGAGCTCAGGATTTAAAAATGCCTATAACGACAGCAGAAAAGTTATCAAAATCTGATCATATAATATATTTATTGTCAGAACAAACAAATGAAGAGTATGTATTTTATTCTTATAATAAGAGGGTACCTATAAGGAACCCCTACTACTTATGAATTATGATAATATTATCTAATAAGAAATAAGAATATATTTATTTTTAAGCTATTGCCTACCTATTTACCTATAATATACACTAATCAGTTATCACTCTTATAACATTTTTAGAACATTTGTTATTGTTGGAATTTTGAAAATGGGATGGAAAAAATTATATCTTTTTGACAAAAAAGGTTCCCGTTCTGAAGCCATGGTATATTGTTTACTTGATTTTTACATTCACGAAACTAGACAACGTCAAGGATATGGAAACAAACTAGTTGAACACATGTTAAAGGTTTAAAATAAAACTTAAATATTTTCTTTACTTTTAATTATTATTTTAACAATACATTTTTTTTTAGGATAATGAGTTAGAAGCAAAACAATTAGCTATAGATAAACCTTCAAAAAAAATGTTGCAATTCATGCAAAAACATTATTCACTTAAGAAGCTAGTCGATCAAGGGAATAATTTTGTAATATTTGAAGAGTTTTTTGATACTCCAGGTAATAATACTTTAACACTATTATACCTATATCACATATTTTTAACTATTTTATTCATTATTATTTTAGGGTTAACACAGCTAAAAGATAAATTTGACAGGTAAAGTGTTTTGGATTTAAAAAATCTAACTTATTAATGATATTATTATTTTCATTATTTTAATTTGTAGAATGTTATTAGTTAAATGATAAAATGTGAATCTATTACAACAGAATGTTTGTACCTATAACTTATAAGGCTATAATCTATTTAATTTAATTTAATTTATTATTCAAATAGTAATCTACAGTCATTATATAGATTTTTTTATGTATTTTAGTACAAGTGGATACAGAAACAAGCCTACATATGGGCGCCATGCTGCTAATAAACACAATGACTCTATGTCTGATGTATGAATAATTATTTATTTATTTACTTTATATTACCTACTAGGAGTTAAGTCCAATACTGCAAAAATGAAAATACTTACAAATATAAAACAAATAGATCCTAAATTTGAATAGTATTATGATATTATGAAAAATATTAAAAGACATTTTTGTTTGCATAGTTAAATTTCATAGGTCAAAATTCCTTCTCATTTTTACAGAACCCGCATTTGTTTAAAGCTTCATCACAAAGACCAATTAAATTCAACTATGCGAACAAAAATATATAAACGAGTGTATTAAATAATAAGTGTAATTTATTATTCATATTAGTAGGTTTATTTTTTGTTAAAAAATGTTAATATTTATTTTATTATAGATATTACATGGGGCTGGTAGTGCAACTCGATTGAATGACAAATACGTTGCTAATGCTGATATGTAAGTAGCTCTTATAGCCTTATAGGTAGTTTTAAATTATAAACAAATTATAACAATTTTTAATTACTATTACATTATGATAATTATTTAAATGTTAAACTTTTTTCTATGTATTAAACAGCATCAATAATAAATTCAAGGATAACAAACCAAATCTTGTCACAGTTCTTCCTTCAGAAAAAGATGTAAATGACCCAATTAATGGGAAGAAAGGCGCTCCACCAAAATTGGATCTCAAATTTCATCATTCACATTTGTGGTAAAAAGCTTTTATAAATATCAGATATTATATCAATAATTGCATTTTTAACTGTCTTATTAATCTTAAAAATAAGGAGCTTTTTAAACTTTTTATACAATTATTTGTTTAATTTAAATATGTTGTTTAAAAATACAGTATACAATATACACATTATACACCATATTCTAATTAGCAGTAAAGTAATTTAAATATAGGTATCATATCTACAGGCTGGTACCTATCCTAATTAGCTTATCATTTTCTCATAATGTTATGTACATTTCTACAATTAGCTTAATCGTTTAATGTCCCTATTGTACTATTAAAATTTTTTATTTTACCTTAAAAATATTATACATTCCTCTATTACTCTATACATTATTATATAGGTATTAGGTATATGTATATATATATATCTGTGATTTGATTTTCATTAATTTATTTTCATGTTACCTATTGTTGTCTGAGTTATGTTAAGTTATAATTATTTTTATTTTTACATATGTAAAGTAGGATGCCTCATAAACTTATTTTTATGTAATATATTATGTATTGTATCTTATAATATTTCTGATGAGATGTATAATTACTAATCATATATAGTTGTACCACTTGTACCTAGGTGCCTCATAGTAATTGATTAAAAAAATTGTAAATGTTTTGCGTGAATATCAAAAATCAAAGTTATATTGAGTTTGTTAGGTACATAGTTATTAAGTTACAATGAGATAGACACCTTACAATATTATAATTATTAAATAGGCATATTAATTTTTATAAGTATATTTAAAAAAATTGAAAGTTAGGTACATATATTATTGTTTTTATGTTCTACCTAATTTTCAAACTTTTTATAAAAGCAGTTATGCAATATATACAAATTATAGTCAGTTTTAATTTAAATTTTGTACTGTCTTTATTAATAATATTAAATTTGTGTGAGTAATGACATATTGAATTAATCTAAATAATTATGTATGATCAAATACAATGGTCATTATCAAGGCTATGAATTTCATGCACTTAAAAACTATTAAATATGCATACATATATGCTCTAAAAATTCTTAAAATATGCTTTAATTTTGCAAAAAGACCACAACAATTTAACTTTTATTTTTATTTTTTTCATTATATTTTTTTTTATTATTTTTAGTTTAAATATTAGTATTGATACATATTGACATGAATATGTGACTTATTGGGCTTGACAAGTCCTGATCTTCGCCGTATACAAGATATACAAAAGAAATATGCTTAGAATAGATTATGATTCTACTTAAAATATTTTATTTTACCTTTAAAGTAGTTATTGCATTGTACAATCAATGATTTAATAATAATGACTCATTATTATTAAATCCACCTATCTGAATTCATAAGTTACTATGTACTTTTAAAATTGATTTTTAAACTATCATAGGTTAAAGTAACCCCATTTTTCTCTTTAAAATGAAGTTGTTCATTTTTTGAAAAATGTTGATGCATCTAAATCAAAATTTAAATGAGAAGTGTCTGAGTTCTTAATCTTTAAGTGGGTACTAAGGATATTAGGCAATCGGTAGTCTTTAAAAATAGTTTTAAATAAAATATAAAGGGGGTGAGCATGTGCTCAGTGAATCTCCATGTATTTAAAATTATATTATATAAAATACTATTTATAAAATAAATAAATTATATAGGTACCAACTATACCATTCTTCATATGATTATATATGTATAATTTGGATTATACACCATTTGTCATTACTCGTTCAAAAAATTGAAAATATAGGTATGAATAAAAACAAGGATTAATAGGTTAGTTAGGTAGGTACCTACTATACCTTCATATATTATGTTATGATAACTATAATTATAATTGACATGCTTCATTTATAACAAAATAAAAGAAAGAATATTGATTTAAGGTCATGAATAATAAATTGCTTGAAATGTTCAACTCCAATACAATTTAACTTACTTTACAACAACTGAATGACATCAACCCTGCAGTGACACCTCGCCACGTTTCCTTCTATTTAATGGGATCAAATGGTCCAACTTTTACTACCAAATTGCTGAACATACACATTTAGAAAAATATTGTAATAAATCATCTAATGCGTTTGGCCCAATTTATTTATCCAGTCCTACTTTCACGACACTTCTTATAGAACACAAGTGTTATATTAAGACATTAAGTATTTATTAATAGATAATGAAAGTTCTAGTTCTTGGATAAAAATGATATAAAACTATGCAATCTAGTTCAATGAACATTTATAAATTGTAACAGATAAATGATAATGTCTTAAAACATTTTTCAATATAATTATACAAATGTTATTTTTTTTTTGGCTATATACAATATTTTCTTTGTTACTTTCTGGTGTGAAACAATATTAATTTTGAGCTAAATAAAACAGTAATTGTTAAAATTGGTGAGCAATGGCCAAATTCATAGCGGTTTTAAAAATAATCATAAGGGGTTTTACGTAGACAATTAAATATACACCATTACATTTGTCAGTGATTTTGTAGTCGTTTCAGTTTATTATGACTTCATGAGTATTGAGTTGGCTTATGAGATGGTCTTATTGTGGATACAAAATTATTGATCCATATTCTAAAATTGATAATGGACAAGGGGGAAACATAAAATACGTAATCAAAAACCATATGTAATCGTTAAATTCCAAAAATATTTGGGGGTAATTAATCAAGATTTTCAACTTTTCAAGGAAGACATTTTGGAGTGTATCGATATGTATTGAGTCAATTTTGAGCGTTTAAGAAATTAAGATGTTAAAAGTGCAATTGTGACTCCGATACGAGTCTTTACGCAACTATTTCTGTCAGTACGTAACTATTCCCTATTGATACGTATCGAATTTTTCTATTTGGAAATCTTGAATTAAACTATCAAAGTCCAAAGATGTCCAAATACATTAAAAATAATATTAGCTTAACATGATTTGAAAAGTTACTAACATTTACCTTTTAATAACGAAATTTGATAATTTTTACTCTTAACCTGTTTTTGACAAAATCAATTTTTAATTAATACTTATTTTTTAATTACCTATTTATTTATAATTTGATGTATAGTACATCTTTGAAGTTTTCTAAGGTTCTGTTAGTAAAATGGTCTCCTCTTCATGAAGTGTCGTAGCTAGGGGGGCTTAAGGGATTACGCCCGCCAACCGGGCCAACCCTCAAAATATCAAACTTAATATACCTGGTACTCGGTAGTACAATAGCCCTAGCAATAAAATATTGTAACTAGAAAAAAAATGTAGCACAAAATTCATAATAATTTTATTTACTAAATAAAGTTGTCAATACTTTTTATGTGACAGAAAGATCTCGTTTATACGATTTCGTATGAGAATAATATTACCGAGTTAAAAAAATAATGAATAATACTGATTTATTTTTTTAAACAATGGCGGTAAAAATGGGTACAGTGTAGACAACGAAAACCTATTATTGGCGATACCGTCATGGGCTGCCGTTTATCGTGTTTAAATTATTCTTTATCACGTAAGCATGTACAAGTGTACAACGGTAAACCGTAAACGGAACATTCAATACAGTCAATTTACTCTGTATAATATTGTAGACCTGTAGTTTTTCTGTGTCGTCCATGAAATCCACAGGTAACGGTCCCACTTCCTCTCTCTGTTTTTTCACCTCTCGCTGGTAACGCATTTTTATTTCCGTCCATCATTAAACGTTTGTGTCTCAATAGTCATTTATCTTATTATATAATCCACTCGCGTACACGGGTAATTTCGATTTGTCTCTTTTGTATTCACTCGAAGTAATATCGTAAGCAACGATCGTCAGTCCGTTTATTTTAGTTCACCGGGAAACTACAAAAACTCAACGTCATGGAATTCCAATTCGATCTAAGCCATATCGCCCACGATCAGATCATCAAAATCGACAACTCTTTGTTGCCAGTCGGCTATCAAAAAGACGACCCAGAGTAAGTATTTTTATATATTGCAAATGGAACACGATCGATTATTATTATGTCTACTCCTCGTGTTACTCGTTGTATTTTTTTACTTTTTTTATCGATCTTAAGCATCGCCAACTATGGCCATTAGCATTTGTGGGGGGTAACGGTTGGTTCAGGAACACGTGTATATGGGGCGAGGATTTGTCCCGAAAAATTCGGGTGGTCACCCATTCAAGAACTAGCGACGCCAGCCGATGCTTGACCTCAGAATAGTCACACCAAGCCTAAACTACTAAACTAGTTAAAGACCCTACTGCCTGCACCATAGCGATTTCGTCAATATTCCTTGAGATATCATAGCAGACTATTTGCATATGTCTGGTTTGAGTAGTCTTTAATAATTGTTGGATCTATTCTACGTGTAACTTGATAATTCTAATGACACTCAAAAATCGGATAATTACTATGCCCACAAAGTATAGAGCATACAACTTGGTACGATTTATTGCATAATTATAGTATGTGCACCTTTACCTATCATATTCTATTTACTACCTAATGTGTTTTTCTAAATACATCTGATGTGTAAGTTAAAAATGTCTGTATTAAGTTCTAACTAGGTACCCACATCCTTTTAAGTATTTTAACAGCCCTGATAATTTGTAGTGTAGTAAAAAACTGTTCATTAGTCAAGATTTTCTTAAATACCTGCCATTGCTTATTTTAATTGTGAATAATTTATTGGATATTAAATGTTGTTTTGCTATATATAGTCAACCACTTATGAAACTTTCTAAACATGTTTATTTATAATTTTTCTCAAGGTACCTACATAATCTTAATAATTAGTTTCATGAAATATTGTTAGTTAATTAAGTATATATTTCTATTAAATATTTAATAAACTATAAAGTCACCTAAGGAAATATGAACATTTTATATTTATATATATGAAATCAACTAATCACTAAACCTTTAAATTCTATTTTTTTAAACTATTAATTGAATATTGACCATAAATTATAATACCTAACTAATTATCTGATAATTAATGCATAGTACTGCAAGTTAGAAATTACCTATTTGTCATGTCAATGTAAATATGTATATTTTATTTTGTTATGCTAAATGCTCATTATGTACCCCGTTATATCGTTATATTATTATAGTACCCCGTACTATCGCATTTATTATCAGATAAATTAAATATGAATAAGATAATAATAATAACATTAATATCATTATTAAATTTAAGGGTTATTCCAATTTTGATTGCATTTTCTTGATATGGTGATTAACTATTTATTATTTATAAATACTCTAAGAAATGAAGTGAAATAATATATTTAATAAAATGTAACTTATTTTTATAGATTGCAAATGATGATATCTAATGTTTTGGATAAAATGGGGATAGCTTCAGGAATTGCTCAAGAGTTAAAATCTCCAATTACTTCAGCTGAAAAACTTATGCGTTCAGATCATATTCTATACTTGATGACAGAACAAACATCACCAGGGTAATGTTGAAAAATAATAACATAGTACTTAAAAATATATATCAACTACCTGATTCTATTTCAGACATTTTGTTGTGGTCGGTTTGCTAAAAATGGGATGGAAAAAGTTGTATTTATTTAATAAAAAAGGTTCAAGAACTGAAGCAATGGTCTATTGTTTACTTGATTTTTACATTCATGAAACCAGACAACGTCATGGATATGGAATAAAACTTATGGATTACATGTTAAAAGTATAAAAACTTTAAAAATATTTTATATACATTCCAATTTACTTTAACGTTCTTTTAATTATATTAGGATAATCAAATAGAAGCAAGGCAATTGGCTGTTGATCAACCTACTAATAAGCTTTTACAATTTTTATGGAAATATTTTAACTTATCCAAATTAGTTAATCAAGGAAACAATTTTGTGATTTTTGAAGAATTTTTCGAAGGTAACATTGTTTTTTTTTTTTATATTTGTACTAGATAATTTATTTTTATTTGTTTTTTATTTATCTAGACCCATCTGATAAGGAATCTGCTAATGATAATCGGTAAGTTTACAGTGTTTTAGTAATGAATGTATTGTGTATTTATCAATATTTTTTTATGCAGCTCAAGTGGATATAAAAGTCAACCGACATTTGGACGTCATGGTGCAGCTAGGCAACAAGATTGCATGGCAAATGTATTTATCTTTATTCCTAATTTAATCAATTTCTTTTTCATTTGTTAATTATTGTAACACATTATAGATACTGTATGGAGCAAAACCAGCAGAAATTCAAAATGGAAACGGAAATGCAAATAAGTAAAAAAAAACTATAAATAGTTAAATAACCTTACTATAAATTATAAATATTGTTTTTATTCTATTTAGGGTTGAACATCAACAGCGAGAAAATGTACAGCATAAAGAGGAACGTCATGTTGAAGTGCAACATCACGTTGAAGTGCAACAACAACAACAACACTCTATGGATGAAGGAGATGGTCAGAAATCAAACCACACTCATCCAAAATTAGATCTCAAGAATTTTCACACTCAATTATGGTAATCTATTAAACTTCGCCTTTTCTAACAGGTGGTAGCTTATTATTTGTTACATATTTATTACTGTATTTCATTAACTTTTGTTAATTTATACTAATCCTAAATATGACTGCAATTTTAAAGTAGAATTAAAAAATAATAATTTAATAAGTTTATAAAAAAAATTGACATTCTTATAAAATTTGCACTAATGGTCATTCACTATACTAATTTTATATGCATAACTTTGGGCTAGCCCACTTCTTAAATATAATGTTTGGTATACAAATAATAACACAAATATTTTTACGTTATTCTTCAAACATTTAATTGGTTGTTAGTCAACAAGGCTAATTAGTAAATAATTTATATTTTTATAATTTTTTTTAATCATTTTATTTATTTAACTTTTGTAACACGCATACTATATGTAATATTAACATTTAAAAATTGTTGAGTGAATTTTTTGTTGTGAAAAACTAATTGAAGATTTGTAAACTTTTATGTTGACGGTCTTTTGTCATTACTTGATAAAGGACCTTTGTATTGAAAATTTAAGGCTGAAAATGTATTTTCTAAAGAATGATAATAGTAATGCTTTTGTGTGTTGAATAATGAATTAAAACTGGCAGAATTTATTTTAAAAGTGAACTATTAATCATAATTCTGATACTATTAATATTGTTACAAGATTTCCTCTTTGCAACATAATAATACAATTATAGAATGTATTGTATTTTCTATAATAATGTTCCTAGAAAATGTTCTTTTTTTTTACAACAATCATATCAACCAATTTGTTTGTATTGATGTTCTAATAAATAGTTACTAAATTATTTGTAAGACCTTGACCTTATTAATTTCTCATGTCTTAAATAAAATATAATTTAATACGTTTCCATTTAATATAGTATATTTTTTTATTAATGACTGTATTTTATTGTATGATGTGTTTACATAAATCCTAGAAAATGTTGGTAAAGCAGTTATAAATACTATCTTGTGAATGAAATCACAAGAACTTAATTGGATGATTAATAATTACCTTAGAAGCTTTATATAATTAACTATACACAATATAGCCATAATATTCATTAAGGTAACATATATCTTATATAAAGTATACACAATATATTCATTAATATTTTCAAATTATAAATATTAAATCTTTTTACATCTATAATTTATTTACATTGTAGTTTGTTTTTTAAAATCGATACTTGGTTGAGATACTGCCATTATTAAATATAATCATGGTTTTAAGCAGTAATTGACTTTGAACAAAAAATAGTATAGGTATTCTATCTACTTTTAAAAAAAGTAGCTTCCCTAGCATTTTACTAAAACTCACTAAACCACACCCCACTTTATAGTCCCTTAAAAAGCATAATAAAAAATCATTAAACATGTTTTAATGAATCATTAGATAAAATAATATAATGTTTTAGGTATAACTAAAAATATACAAAATAACAACAAACTTATTTTATATTTATTTATTATTTCTAAAATGATCCATTTTCACATAAGGGATCCTATAGTTGAGAACAATTAACATTTTGTATTATTCATATATTTAACACAATAATATAGATTGTGAAATTTCATAAAAATAGGTAACTTCAAATAACCCGTTTCATGTGTCACCCTTCAAGAAAGAAGAAGCGGTACGCTAGCGTATCCTGAAAACTTATTGAGGTACTCAGTCTCCCCAAGTCAAACACTGGTTTAAAGTGTTATTGTTGATGGTTATTATTAAATTTTAACTATTTTTGTTGTTAACTGTTGAACAACAGGCTTTTGATCTATCTGGTTTATTATTAATAATAATATATTTTTTAAACCTAATGTAATACTTTGGCAATCAAAAATAATTAAACATTGGAAATATAAAAATGTATTGTATTGGATGTTTAAACTACTGACAGGCATATAATTATTGACAATTAGGAATATAAAACAAAATAAAAAAAAAAAAATCCTGAGAGTGGTTTATTTCTCCATATCCCCCCACCTCTTAATTATATCACTAAGACACAGGTGTTATTCGTATTATTATTTCTAACCCAGGTGGTTTGCTGCTTCCCTACTCCATTTTTCATTGTCATTCGACATTTTTTTAAGTTCTCTATTGCTTCCAGCTCCCTTGCCCATCTTATTTTGCCCAATTAATGTGTGAACATCTTCAGTGCTTCTAATACCTTTCCTTTATAACCCAACTCTTTCACAACCTTATAGGCGTGTAGCGATATGCTCCAATCATACGTTTTTACGAGTTTTTTTTAATGTTAATGTTTAATTTCTTGGATGTGAATAGTTAGGATTTTTACTGAATGCAACCCTTGACGATGCTATGTGCTTTTTAATTTTTTATGCTGCCTAGATATGGGAATTTGCTAACTTGGTCAAGCTTGTTTCTAAAATTTATTTTGACTACTATGTGTTGTAGTTTATTGCTTAAAACAATACCTTGGTATCTTTTGACTTTTTCATTTATTTTATTCTAAATGTTCCATTTTATCGATACACCCTGTATATCTCCTTCAATTTCAGTTATAATTCCTATATCGTCAGTTAAACGTATTATGGAAATAGTTTCCCTCAAAATTTTATTCCAGATAATTATAATTCAAATATTGTTTTCATTATTTTAAATTGTGAGTACTACATTTTAAATTATAATTATTCATAATAGCAGGATTACTCAATGGCATCTATAACAAAGTACATAAAAATGAGTAATTACTTACATAATATAAATAATTAAAGATAAGACATTATTGATTTATCATAAATGATTAATATTAATGAGTAAATAATGATTTATGCTTAGCTTGTTTAATTGAAAACATAAACAAAGTATAAAGTCAAGAGATGCAAACACAGGAATGTAGGCAGCACGAGAAGGCAGTCGTACAATCAAAAGAAAAAAGTTTCAAACTTTTATGCTTATTTAAATCATGGTATTCTAACACTATTTCCCACCATATAAATGTATTGATTTATTAATGATTTGCTAATGAATTGAGTATGTGCAATTAATTATTACTTACATTCATATACATATTTTATAATAATATGATATATACCATTTTTAGCTTTTGTTCTTGAGCACAGTTATGTTTCTTCGGGCTTATATATTTGTATTTTAATGTTTCATTATGCTGTCGTAATTTAAATTTGTTGATAGTGTAAGAACTCTTTATACATCTGGTTGAATCAATTAATGTTAACAATCAACAATTTTTTACACAAGTAATACAATTTTGTATTTTAGACAGTTTTTTTTTAAAATTGATTTTATGTGATGATGCATTTTAGTTTTATTTTTTAAATGTTATTTTAACTAGTATATTTTTTTACAGATAGCATTCTTCGTGAGTATACACAATACAATCATATTAATTCAGAAATATTGAAAAATCACATACATATAATTTATTACATTTAACATACACATATTAATAAATATTCAACAGCCTTCCAGTCTATTAAAAATGTACAATATATTTCTTGATTTTACATATTATATTTATATTATTTTATTTATAAATATATAGTTACAATTTATACATGATATTCTCCACCCTCCAATTTATCGTCTGACACATACGATACCAAATACTCAGCTGTACTTTGGTCAATCCAAATTACAGATACTACCAATGATATAAAATACCCTAATATACTGCCAGCAATAACATCTAATAAATGATGACGTCTTAAAAGTATTCGACTGAAAGCCACAGCTACTGCCCAAACACATAAAAACAATACCATAAACTCATTTATCGGATACAATTTATAAAAATAAAACATTATGAAAAATGCTCTTGACACGTGTCCTGACGGAAAAGAGTAGACATCAGGACCAATTGTAACCCATTGATCATTCTTGTTGCCTACAGGTCGACGGCGACGAACAAATGCTTTTATTGTGGCAACCGCAAAAATATCAATAAATAACCCTAAATATATAAAAAGAAAATAATAATTTTTCAATTTTCTATCATCACATATGTATTATATTCATGTAATGACCATAATTATGCATACACCTATTATTTTAAAAACTTAAATGTAATAAGTTCAATTATTATGTTTTTTAAATATAGAACATTTTGTCCACATTAAAATAGTGTAAAAATAAAAATATGTAGAAGTTAGTGCTTAAAATTGAAAGGTGAAGTATAAATTTCATATTTTAAACATAAGTTTAGACACCTAATAGCTGTATCTGTCTGATTGATGTGTTACATTTGTTACCAATATCAATATTTACCATTTATTTATTATTAGAACTGATACTTCAAAAAATAGAAAATATATTCATTAATATACAATGGTTTAAATAGATAAAATGTGTAATAATTTTATTAGAAGACAATTTAAATTAATTCATACAAACCATTATAAAAAAACACTGAAATATGAATTTTAAATATCATCTAAAATGTTTAAAAAATTAAGGTGTTCCATTGATTTAGGTTTCTAAACAGATGCTTGCAGTGTGGGTTTTTTATTAATATTTTAACAAGATATATAAGATTATAGAAATTCAAATAGAAACAAATAATTTAAAAAATAATAGTATGCCTAAAAGATGATTACATTTTAAGGTATTCTCGTTATATACACTTTACAGTGTAGGCTACCAGTTTTTTTTTAACAACCCCCACATTTGTTTTTATTTTTTGTTCAGTATTAATTTTAGTGCCACAAGAAACGCTAGAATAATGGTCAACATCAAGAGACATTATTGGTAAGTTTTATTCCTTAAAGAAATACCGTTTGTATAACTAAAAAAAAACTTTGACATACATAATTGTTGCAAACAAATCAATAGGCACTTATGAAAATTATTTTCAATTCTTTTTCTGTTCTAATCTCGTAAAAATATACATTAACTGTTGACAATGGCAGTGTTTTAATGGTTGAATGAGGCATATTGTCAAATGTAGAGCGTATACAACAAGAATACTCATTTATGGCCTAGTTTATAATTTCAAATTAACTTACCGATAAGAAGGTTAACTTGCATTTGAAATAAAGATTTTGACCAAGCAAACCAAATGAAAGTCAACCAACAGGCGATCCATACAATTCCATGACACGAATACTTAAATTTAACATAATCGTTAATATTAATAATTTTGATTAAATTGAAATACATTTTTTTAAGTATATATGTACTTTACCTCTAATCCTTTGTAATATGTGGTAAAACTGCGAATAGGCAAAACCTTAGAAACTGTGTTGCAGATAACTGAAGTAAGTTTTGAGTCCATATCCAAAATGCCCTTCATCGGCGCCGGTACGTTCCGTTTTACAGGCATTTTAAATTTATTTTAAACAGAGTTCAATTCAGTCATGAATAGTGTTTGTCGACTAGATAACTTTATAACAACGATCGTTTAGACTGTTTAGAGCATTAATATTTGCTAATAGCTGATAGCGAGTAGCGACCGGGACAATTTTTTACTTTTTATTTGAACAAAACAACATTATCATTTATCAGTTATCATAAAACTAATCTCAATTGGGTTTTGTAATATTTTGTATTATTATTGTTCTATGGTTTCGTCTGTTAAGCGCACTTGCCACTTACTAATGTCTAATTAGTAATTAGTAATTACCGTTTACCAATGACTAATGAGTAACGAATGTTTAACCATTTAATATATTCTGTAGTTCAACTATTATATTATAACACGATTGAACTATAATTAGTAATTAACAAGATAATCCATGAAACTATAAAAATTAATCCACCTTGGCAGTTGACAGATAGTTATGTAATGAATAACAATGCTTATTAGTTATTTGTAGTAATATTGTACCGCAGTAATAACTAATAAGTCGTACATATTCTTACACTAATAATGTTTATTTTAATTTTTAGTTATTTTATACAACCTTCCTGCACTAAACAATCTATAGCGTTCGCCATTGAAGTAGGTACATCCTACTTATGATATTTTAACTTTTCTGGGCGTCGATGCAACCATAGTGGTGGTCGGTCGGTGGTGAAGGGACATATCCTATTTTTAAAGACTAGCTAAATTTTTTTGTACGAAATATTCAAATACCTCTACACTGTAGTGCTGTAGGTACAGTTTATTATTACCACAAGCCATAAATATATTTATATGCCTATGATTAATACATTGCTATTTGCTTTATTTGTTGCGGCCACGGTTATTTACTTGTGTAGGTAACCGTGGTTGCGACTGTATAAGTATAAGTATTTAACTAATAAAATCCTTCCAGAATGTTGACACCGACAGAGCTAAAATTGTCATATAAAATGGCTGAATATTACTCTTTAACATTTAAAATTATTTTATTCTTTTGACATAATCCAGGCCTCGCAAGCCCATCGGCGCTTCCACCACACTTATCCACGCTTCCCTGTCCTCGGCCAGTTGCTCTCCCTCTCTTACTCCCAGGAGCTTAAAGTCTTCTTTAAATCTGTCAATCATAGACATATATAAACCTTTATACGTCAATCCACCGCTGTCTTGGCCGTCCTCTCGGTCGGTTTTTGTCTGGTTTCCATAGTGTGATCTCATGTAACTTTTGGCCTTTTGCTCTCCAGACGTAGCCGGCACAGCCTATCCATCTGCTTTTGAGAATTCCCACTATATCCGGCTCACCAAACGTTCTGAGCTCCTCATTCGTTTTTCGTTCGTATGTATTCTTTTCTTCGTTTCTTTTGGGGCCATAAATTCTAGGTAGGATTTTTATTTTAAATACTTCTAGTCAGTGGCGTATTTACGGGGGGGGGCGTCCATGGGTTTGGACCCCTCCCATTGACTCGTATCTTATACATGTTGAATTTCGTGTTTTTACAAAAAAAAATTTATCATACGATATACAGGATTTTGTAAAAAATTGTCTTCGCTTTAATTGACAACATTTTTAATTATTATCGTGATTTTTTGGTCATCAATTTACAACGACAGTATCTACAGCTATACTCCCAAAGTATGTTTTTCAACCTTAAAAAGGTTTAAAACTTATCTCAGATCAACTATGAATGAAGTTATTCTGGACATATTTATTATAAAAATTATAACCGAGCTGTACAGTATATTTTAAATTTTTTTTGTATTTAGGATAAACTAAGCTGACTGCCATTGATGTCTATAAGTCTTAGGCAATTAGATATTGTTCTCTAATCTCACAATACATAGTGAACACTGAACAGTCTTAAGTTCTCATGGGTTTTTTATAACACTTAAATATAAATTTTAAATTGTTGTAATCATGAGCTAACTAGCCAACTAGGTACCTACATATGTCAGCAATTTATTAGTTTACTAGTAAACTACTTACATATTTAGTTAGTTAATCATGGTTTTATTATTATTACAAAGTTTATGATACAAATATATCTATATTATATAATAAAAAACTCAAAAATTGTACATAGACTTTTAAATTGAATATGTTATATTTATTTAATAGAAAGAAATTTAAGTTGTGGGAGGCAAAGCCCCCCCCCCATGGATCTTTGTTCTGAAAGTTATCTGGGCCCTCCCTATGTTAAATTCCTAAATACGCCACTGCTACTAGTTATACCAGTAGTTCTCAACCTTTTTTGATTCATGTCACCTTTAGGCACTAGAATCAAACATCGCGTCACCCTAACTGTGTAATGTAAAAAAAAAAAAAACCTAACATCAAAATAATAAATAATCTTAGCTGTATATATTAAAATTATTCTTTTATTAAAAAAAAAATACAGTACAGAAAAAAATTAAAGTTACAAAAAAAATAATGATTTATATAAATTTAATGTGAAATTTGACCCGGGTGTTTTTTACAAAATTGGGGAATCCTAAGTTTGATGGTGGAAAGAGCGAGTCTCATATCGTCTTCTATAGTTGTTTTTGTGAGTCTGTTGCGTTTTTTTGTTTTTATATTTGTTAGTGCACTAAAGCCATGCTCACATAACCAAGACGTAGAAAACTGAAGGAGCACATTAATAGCATTTTTCGATAATCGAGGGTATTCATTGTTAAGAGCCACCCAAAAGCTGTCTAGCGTATATAAAGATACGAACTTTGAGGTATGTTATGTACATGACAGTGGTGGTATAGGTGAATAATATATGTATTATAAGAAATAATATGATTGTTTTCGAAATTTTATTATTATTATTATAATTTTACTATTATCGAAAAATTTATTTTTTAAATTTTTTCTTTTCTTGTTAAAATTCTGCGTCACCCCTAAGCTAGGTCCACGTCACCCTAAGGTGACATGTCACCCCGGTTGAGTACTACTGAGTTATACTATAAAAAAAAGTCTCTTTTCGTCTGACTTTGTTGACTCTCCACATGTATGCAGAACTATAGTTCTGATGAGCGTTTTATATTCTCTTGGTTTTGTATTTTTAGACAATGGCCTTGACTTAAATAATGTTTTAAGTGCAAAAAAGCTCTTATTTCCTGCCATTATTCTTCTATTAATCTCTTAATGGCTATTTGTTTATTGGTTCTACTTTTAGGTATTTGAAGCTTGATGTTCTTCCGAAGGTTTTATCTCCAACTGATAGTGATTCTTGTACATCTTCTCTTCGAGATATTTAATAGATATTTCGTCTTTTGCTCATTAATTTGCAGACCAATAGCTTTTCCTTTATTTATCAGTTTTTCGGATGGCTGTCTTGCACTTTCTTTAGTTTTTCCTATACACAAAAACTATAAAAATGTGTCACCGTGAAATATGAAAATGGTCAGATAGTGTTTTCATATAATATTATTCGTCTCTCACAGTTACCTGCTATTTAATTGTTACCATATTATTGTTATTAATTTTTCTACTAAAAATGTATTCTATAATCCAAATCCAAAATAATATATTTGTTATAAAAATTATGAATCGTTGCAATTCACCCCCATTTCGTGGTAGGTACATAGTTAGATAATTAAAAAATGATAAGTAAAATTGTAAAGAGCAAACTGTCATTTAATTTATTCACTTATTAGTACCTATAATAATCATTTACATTTTTAACACATATTGTATTTGAATAATATATTTATGATGTAAACATATAACGTAGGTATAAAGTTCAAAATTTAAATAATTAAATATAATAAATAATAATACATTAATACATTAATAATAAATAGGTAATAATGTAATATATATATTATATATATATATATATATTTATAAAAAATTGAGTGTATACAAGATAGTTTATAAATATAATATATACATTTAATAACAATAATAATTAATAATGATTCTTTCAACAGATACAATAAAATTTAGATAAACATAATACTATATAGCAACAAATTAAATTAGATATATAATAGGTTAGCATAAATTATTTTTCATATTATGATGAAATATTGGAAACTATTATAGGTATAATATGATCGTCTATAATCTTTAATATTGTCCTTATTCCGGATTCCCTTATAGGTACACAACAGTAAACACTAATATTCATATGTAATTTATACATTAAATTCTATCTGATAAATGATTTAATTACTTTATCATATCATTATGAATTATGATTAACTATATAAATTATTTTCATAATGCCGCAATTACATGAGATTATTATGGAAGTGTAACTGCGGAGGACCTCCAATCGGTGACCGTAGTGGAATATCATCACTCTTTCTGTGTACCATTTGTCGACCTGACCAAGCCCTAGTCGGGCTTGGTGAGTTGCGACAAGTTCTCGGCAATGTTTCAATTGATCGAATCGGACTTTGAATGTTTAGAACGCTTCTCGGCAAAGCTTCAACTGACAAACTGAGTGCACCAACACCACTAGTTCGACCTTGCATTCTCATCAGTTTTCGTTTCTACAGAACATTGGATATGAAATTAGCACACACTTAAGCATTTTATATATTTTAATTTGATTAAATTTAACCGTCTAGTTACACTAACTTGAACTATAGCTCTCCACGTTTGTCCATAATTACGGGCCAACTGCAATCGATTCTGTTTACGTACATGATGTTTCTTGTAGCCTATCTCGATGACGATTAAAACCATTCCAACCACTATGCCCACAGCGACAAGTATAAATACACCAGCCATATTTTTCAATCCTAACGTATTGGGTGTTTTTTCTTGATCTTCGCATTGTTCTACTCTCCCTTGAAATATCCACTTATCGTCCAAGTTTTCCATGAAACCGCCTGGCTCAAAAATATCAAGGTTTAGATTTCATCTTCCTTGTATATAACACTCATATATACATACTCTCATGGAAGTCTAAAATTGATAATGTAACTGCTTCAGACCAAGGAGATCCTTTTTGTAGACCAACTCCATATCCAGAACGTCCAAATAA